TCATCCGAGCAATTTCGCGCCAACACGGTAAAATACTCCAGAGACGTTCTGAATGTGTACTGGGATTCGACGTGCATCTGGTGTAAATCAGAATACGAGGATATATAGAGGCACTACTGTGTTGTCGGCTGCGGCATCATATAAGGCTACAGCAATCTAAACGAGTACGATGATCACACTGTCCACGTCATAGCGCGATCGATCTTTCATAGGCTCTGAGGGATATGGATCTATCGCTGCCGGGAATGCGACTGGGGCCTAGACATTATATCATCGATCGATCTAGAGACATCGAGATGGTCTTCCGGGTAGGCTGTGCGTTGGCGCATCAATTCGTGGAGAATTCACCTCGCAGTAGAATCGAGTCAGTTTCCATCGCTCCAAGAGAGCCATCGGATGCATACTCCTCTTCCCTTGTGAATCGTGCCGTCTGATTCGCAAGTTCCGAACTGGATCAAATTACAGCACCAGTATCGTGGGCAGACTACTTCCAATCGAAATTTTACGAGAAAGTTATTCGTACTCTCTTCAAGTCGTATCTGTCGGCCCTGCTCAATCTCAACCTACTATCACTCGACTCGAATGTCAAACAGCGGATCCCTCAGATCTGGTTGCCACGAGGCATGTTAGAGAGCCGGCCCACCACAGTATCACAAGACCAGCCTCACAGTGGAGGTGCTCAGCGCTGGACGACGACCTGATCGCTGCCAGTGCTTATGCAGATACCACTCCTTTGCCAACAAAGGAAGAAAAGAAAGACGACGACGTCAAGGGAGCTATTCGAGTGCTATCCTCTCAAATGGTTCCCTAATGCCTCAATCAATTTGACAGGCTTTTCGCTTCTGGGCCTTTGGGGAGATCGACGAGTTCGAGAGCAGATTAGAGAGATTCACTGACTCTTGGTTACGCTCAGAGTTCGCCCTCATAGGTAGCCCGGTTGCTGTGGCGCATTTGAATATAAAGCTTGAGTGACTATATGATTCATTCCACGACGTTGATCACACTTCGAATTAGATTCTCAGGGATGCTCGAATTGATCGTCCATCGAATTCAAGAGATATCTCACTTGCCGCCGCGCTCATGCTCGGACGTCTGCGTGCTCGCCAAAATAGTCGAGATCGAGCTCCTCGGATGGGCTGCTAAACAAGTGAGTGATCGATTGATGATAAAGAACGGCAAATCGCGCAACGAGTTATACGAGGCCTTTTAAACCTTTTTTCATTTCTGTTCACTCTCGCGCTGTTCAGGATTGGCAAATCGAACAAATTCAGCGCCGTCGCAGACGCGATTCGACCACGGGGAACAGCAGTCGTGACTGACATCTTGTGGAGGTCTTCCACTGGAAGATAGTCACTGAGAATTCGACGAAACCAGGGTACATGACTGAACAATTTTCATCCAGCCGTTAGCCAAACGTTGGGTTTATAGAACAGTGTTGGATCTTGAACTTCATACAACAAGACTCGCTTACACTCCCATCAACTTTGCTTGCCCCGGCCACATGTCTCTTTCGCCCAACCACTAATTCTCTTTCAACGTTTTCCATCGACTCTCCGATATTTTATCCACACATTCCCTGTTGTCGGGAACAACCGTACGCATAGTCCTCCACTCTGGGAAGTCAGCGTAGCCTAGTGAACCGGGGGACATGCGAGTACACCCTTCAGACTTCCTAGTGCGGAAGCATACTTACTTCGACGCCTTGCTCAAAGCATTCCGAATCGGAATTTCCGATATCGATGTCATCTGTTCTGAGCTTGTTTCACAACGCGCAGATCGCCCAGATCGTCGTAATGGTACGGGACGTACCGTACCTCCACGCGCGACAGTAAAGCGAAACTGAAGAGAGCTGCTGTGGTGATATGCGGCGGGAGCGTCACCCGAAGACAGTATGTGCGGCGAAGTGAGGTCTGCCAAACGGAAATTTCACCTTGATACAATTTATGCCGGCTCCGAAATCTAGATGGCACAAATTGTATGCTAGGGAGATGCGTACAATTTGCTCCACCTCCTTGAGTCCGACTCTCCGTGTATCACAAGCGAGGTTATAAATAATGGCTCTACCTAGGAGGCCCTCACGCAAGCCACAACTTCTCAACAAGAAAGTAGTGAGACCCGCCTCCAGACATGGTTGGAGGGGAAGTACGTACTAAGACAGCAGAAAATAGTATAGTAAGGTAGGACAAGACAAATAGAGAGAGTAGTGATGTTGCACTTACTCGAAACCAATGGATACGTAGGTACGCAAGCACAACTGGCGCCAGTCAGCTGATGCGTGTGGGTGCCGCACAGAAGCAACAAGCATCAACATTGCCATACCTTGCCTCAAGGTCCTATCATTTTTTCCCGTAAGATGAACGTCTCGGACAATGTTTTATAATGACGCATTTAGTCGACTGTTCCGTGATTAGCGTGATATACAGGACCTGTATTACAAGCTCGTTATGGGGCGAGTGGTGTGACTCCGCGAGGAATTGATTCACGCGTTTCACGAGTGCATCTCCGCACACCGCGGCAAGCTACAATGGATTTGTTCATTGAGTTTGTGCTTTCACTGGATTGTAATAGTAGATTGAGTAATAGCCGAAGGTTTTTTGTCCGCCCTGCTTTAACTGCTTTGAGGCGAACAGTAGCTTTGTACTGAAAAGTTAGTAGCTCCGTTTATCATCCCGATGTTGAACATCCTCCTCGTCGTCCTATTGATACGTGGTGGGGTATGTACCTTCAAGATGGGCAACACTCGCATGCAGATGAAGACGACACATTTCTGCAATCTTGACTTGAGGGACATCAAAGGGAACCCAATGGCATGCCATATCTCCAAGGCTATGGAAACTGAAGGGCTGGTCCTACCTGGTATGGATGATAACAAGTCGTTCACCGTTCATCGAGACATCTTCATCGTCAAGGACGGTCAGGCGGTGGTTCAAGCAGCGCCAAGTCACCCGTATCTGTATATTCTCATGAGCCAGAACGACACCCACTTCAGCACCTCCCAACTCTTCAACAGACAGTCGTTCCTCCTAAAGCAGGGAACCAGGCACAAGAATGGTCCGCCCGATGGTCGCAGGCTCAATACCAATCGTACACTCGAGGGTGATGGTTGGGTCTATAAGGGCTTGGTAGACGAAGGTGGACAGAAGCTTAACAAATGGGTCAGAAGTGGAGTAGAAGGTGTTGATCCAAAATCCGGTCTCAACTTCACTGCCCTCGCCCAGACTGGTGTAATCACTAACGCTTGGGTCCTCTATCTTGACAAGGATCAGAAGCAGATGGTGAAGCTCTTGGGTATCAACACCTTCGAGAATGATAAGGTCTATCTCGAGTCCGAGGTCACTCACTGGGAGGAGCTGGACGATGCATTAACTTTGGATGTTGCCATGAATGATATTCACGCGGCGTATGATATCGTGAAGAGCCACGATCTGGGAGCAGCCAGAGAGGAGGCGCCACAACTAGACGCTGAGTTTATCAAGAGCCGCTTGGTTGGCGAAGAGGCTCGTCTATTCTTCAACGATGGGAAGAGCCACGACTGGAGGTCGAACAAGACTAATATTCGTGGAGATAAGTCGGTAGCACCGATCGATTATTTCCGCCTCCCTAATGGCACTGCTGCACATAAGTTCTTCCTGTACAAGAATCACTCTCCTCTACAAAAGAAGGATGAGGAGGAGTTCCAATTACCCTCGGCGTGCAGGACTGGTGTGACCAAGTCGGTCACTCCATACTGCCTGTATGTTGGTTACGCCTCTAACGACACACTACTGGCCCTCGATGTATATATGGCTTATACCGATATAGCCATATCGGAAAATAGAGCTCACCTCAATGTCACAGTCCATTTGAAGCAGCCGGAGACGGAGGTCCTACTCTTTGCTTTAGAAGCCGCTGGATGCGCCATGGTTTTTGCTGCTGATATTGACTTCGCAGGCTTGCGCATTCAAGTATGTCTCACGGGTGCAGGCAGCGGTGGGAATGGCACTTACGCCGGGAAAATAGCGATGTCGGTCGCGGTCATAATCAGAGTTGCTTTCGTCCCTGCATTGAAAGCCACACTCTCTGGTCAAATTGCGGTCAATGCTTCGGACAATGGTGATGTCAAAGCATATGGTGAGCTGGGCATTGATGTCTCGGCGCTAGTTGTCGGAGCGGGTATCTCTCTGGACATCTTCGGAAACACCGTTGATCATAAATCGGATATCTGGCAATTTAAATCCCACTTCAACCTCCACGTGTGGGTCGATGTCCTCTTCTACGACCATGAGTGGCCATGGAGCTGGACAATTTGGGAAGCTGGTCCAGTCAAATTGCGATAAATCGGCAAGCCCGTATTGACGGTATATCGGGGGCATGGTTTCAGTTCCATGTGAAAGTCCCATGACTATCTCATATAAAAAACATTATGCCTTCATTATGTCTTAAATCTTGTTAAAGAATTTTCGAGCACACGTGTACTCGTGATGTAACATATTCAAGTCACATTGGTCGGTTTAATCGATGACTGGCTCATCATGAGTCGATTCTGATTTCACTTTTGTTGTCCTAGCTGATGCACTATGCTGCAAGCGGATGACCCGCTGCGGATCCGAAGCGTAGCGCTGAGGAGAGCGGCAGTCCAGAAGTTAGCTGATTCTTTTCAGATTGCTCTGTCGTGTTTTGACCAGTGAGGATTGTCACATAACTAACCACATCATCCGGCCCGGGCTGAGCACCCTTGTCAGAGCTTCACGACAAAGTGTACTCCGCAACACTCACACACACAGTGAAATCCAAGGCGTTCTATGGCGTTATTAGCCGCCCAACAAGCTGGATTTTAGTAGATCCGAATCCGACCCGCTTATACCCACAACGTAAATGGACAGCAACAACAACGTTATTAACGAGTATCCAAGTACGAAAGGAATTATCTCAAACCGCTGTTTGTCATAGATTGATAGATGCCACTGGGAAGAAGTAGAAGCAGTGTTACCACTTCTCATTGGTCATGCCTGTATAGCTAATCATGTATCTCTCTGAATACGGTGCTCGACACCCACCCATACTATAAAACGCTACTTCGTATTAATAGAAAATATTCCCAACGTGCGCGCAGTCAAGACAATCATCATCATCGCTTCGCCGTCTATTCCTCTGACCGTTAAGGGACTGTGAGAAGGACAGATAGATTTATCCAAAAGCGATTCGCCTTACAAACATCGTTTCCAATCCATCTCCGTCCAGGTCTACGATCTTCTGCTTTTTGACTCGGGCAAGATCCCCACCGTGCATGTTTGGATTTAGCGACTTCTTACCCTTCCTATTCCGCCGACCCCCCGCCCTGATAACCGACTAACCCAAAGGAAAAGTTTCCCCAACTTACTCGACGTCCAATCTAGTTTGCGACTTGTGACCTTTTCGTGCATTCCTTGACCATAACTGTTGAAGCTGTTCTTTCTTGCATTGAATTTGATGTTCTTTTTCCTTAATTTTCCTGTGCATCTTCGCACTCTCAATTCTCCTATCATCCACGGCTGATAATACGAACCCAATTATACGCTCCACCTTAGCCTGAGGATGAGCTCGCTGGCAAAACAAGCTATTCTGGAGTCACATAAAACTCGGTGAGAAGGGCGAAATTCGCGGCGGTATGCAGTAGTCGTGAGATGTGTTTCTCACTAGTGTCTCCCATATCACGGACCGTGATATGGAAAATACTAGTGAAGACCAGCAGTGATACCGTGATTCACGGTCTGTGAAGCTCCATTTCTGTGATCTATCACACGGCTATCAGCTAATCTCTAAGTCGATACAGCAGCGAATCATGAACACTTATATGCTCCCTACCTTATCGTTGGCTATGGCTGCATTTCGAATGGACTGAAGGAGCTCCTTCGTAGCTGCATGAGCTTTAGCCATCGCGAGAACCTCATCTTTAGGAGTTTCGACGAAGGCCTCTGATGTCTACAAGAGAATCAAACAAGATGCTCACTAACCCAGTCTTGGAATTATCAAACTGCTTAAACCACAAATGGAATAACTCGACGGGCTTAAATCTATTCCAGAACCGATGCTGACTTCCACAACTAGTTGATTCGACACTTAATTTAGTGTCATCACAGTCGTTTGTAAGTTTCTTCTTTTGGTGACTAGAAGAAGAAACACAAGAACGACTGTTAGCAAAGGGTTACGACGAGGCTCTCTGAGTGGGCGCCACTCATCACCCACTTCCCTAAATAAGGCACAAGTGCACACCAGTTCAACAGTAGAGCAGAGACTTCACAACAAAGACGATATCATATACGACGAGGAACTGACCTGTTTCCAAGCTTCCTGTACGATCCTCTGACATTCGAGACTCTCGATCAACTTCGCAGCGCCTGTGGTTCGTTCGATGCTCTTTGATATCGTCCGGGCAGTATCAGCCAACTAACAATACTTACATCCTCGATATGATCACAGTTTGCAACGAGTTCGATGTAACAATCTTTTCAAATACCCACTCATGATCTTCTAACCAGGTTAGCTCTGTATGAAATTATCGGCTCACCTTTGCCTCGTCCCGAGCGTGCTCTTTCTCTATCCTCGAACACTCTGTTACCGTTCGTGTTAGTTCATCTTGCAGCTGAGCATTCTTCTGTTCCAATCCGCGAAGTTTAGCGACCAGACTCTGAGAGATTTAGCTTATATTAGTGATAGGCGGATGATTATCAGTCATAAATTACCTGTTTATCTGATTTCACTTGTTTTCTCCTCGCATACGCCTCAAGCGCCCTTTGCCGGAGCTCCCCCTCCTCATCTGAGCATCGCATATTCAAAGGAATGAATATAATACAGCCCTCACCTTGGGAAGATGCGATGTCGGCCGTCGAATCGGGTTGGCCGAAAGTTATATAGAAACTGAGACAACAATCGCAGATGACAATGGCCTCGATCTGATAGCAGATTTTGAACCCACACCCATGATTCAATAATGAGCTCTGGTAATGTGATTCCTCCATCGGGGAAGTCGAGAGTGACTTACCTGAGGTAGTCGGCCTCGACATCCTTCACGGGTTTGTTGCATTTTGGACACCGATCGTGTATAGAAGATGCACATCTCGCATGGAAGAGGTGACCACATCTTTTCAGACCTGCCAATACACTGTAAGACTATCGACTCTAGCTCATACTCCATAATTGTCAATATAGTGAATGGTTTATAGACCCCTTGGACCAATCTATTCTAGCGTATATTTTCAAACTATATTTTGTATATCGTAATTTTATGAATCTCAATCGAATCGGGTCGGTTCATATTGGTATCCGAAGCAGGAAAACCCAGAGGCAATGAAATCGATTGAGATTGATGCTGGACTATAAGCCCTTCGATTGATGCTAGAGTATAAGCCTTTCGATTGATGGTAGAGTATAAGCCCTTCGATTGATGGTAGAGTATACCTCCTTCGATTGATGCTAGAGTATAAGCCCTTCGATTGATGGTAGAGTATAAGCCCTCCGATTGATGCTAGAGTATAAGCCCTTCGATTGATGGTAGTGTATAAGCCCTTCGATTGATGCTAGAGTATAAGCCCTTCGATTGATGGTAGAGTATAAGCCCTTCGATTGATGGTAGAGTATAAGCCCTTCGATTGATGGTAGTGTATAAGCCCTTCGATTGATGCTAGAGTATAAGCCCTTCGATTGATGGTAGAGTATAAGCCCTTCGATTGATGGTAGAGTATAAGCCCTTCGATTGATGCTAGAGTATAAGCCCTTCGATTGATGGTAGAGTATAAGCCCTTCGATTAATGGTAGAGTATAAGCCCTTCGATTAATGGTAGAGTATAAGCCCTTCGATTGATGCTAGAGCCCCCCTTACCAGTGATATCACTTCTCAAAGGCCCTTTACACTTGCTGCATACAATCATACATGACGAGGAGGTGGAGGTGGAGTCCCTCCTAGGCTGCTGATGCTGCATTCCTTCGTTATGGGTGAGGAGATCAATACAAGTAGTGGCCATGAGGTGGGGCAACTATGCCATCTCAAGATACACCTTAGTAAAATCAATTTCTCCAGATGGGGCAGCTATGCCACCACAAGGTATTTCCTGAAAATATCAACTTCTCCACGTGGGGCAGCTATGCCAGACCAAGATATGTCCTAATAATATCAATCTTTCCAAGTGGGGCAACTATGCCAGACTAAGATATGCCCTAATAATATCAATTTGTCCAAGTGGGGCAGCTATGCCAGATCAAGATATGCCCTGATAATATCAATTTTTCCAAGTGAGGCAGCTATGCCAGACCAAGATATGCCCTAATAATATAAATTTTTCCAAGTGGGGCAGCTATGCCAGACCGAGATATGCACTAATAAGATCAATTTCTCCTGATGGGGCAGCTATGCCACTCCAAGATATGCTCTAATAATATCAATTTCTCATTTGGGGCAGCTATGCCACCATCGCGTAATGGTATCGCCATAGCCCTAATGGTTACATGCAGCCATTCATCATTTCAAGTGTATCTTCGAGAGGCTGTCAATTCTCACTAATCAATTCCCCCTCGAATCCAATCACTAATAAACTGTCAATAACATTGAAAGTGAATTAGTGAGTGAATTATACTCTCAATATATCATATCGACTCCACCACACAAAATATAAACATCCAGAAGGCACTAGCCATTCATCATTTCAAGTGTATCTTCGAGAGACTGTCTGTTCTTACTGGTGAATTCCCCCTCGAATCCACTCACTTATGAACTCTCAATAATATTGAAAGTGAATTAGTGAGTGAATTATACTCTCAATATATCATATCGACTCCACCACACAAAATATAAACATCCAGAAGGCACTAGCCATTCATCGTTTCAAGTGCATCTTCGAGAGGCTGTCAATTCTCACTGATGAAATTCCTCCTCGAATTCACTCACTAATAAACTCTCAATAATATTGAAAGTGAATTAGTGAGTGAATTATACTTTCAATATATCATATCGACTCCACCACACAAAATATAAACATCCAGAGGGCACTAGCCATCCATCACTTCACGTGTATCTTCGAGAGACTGTCTGTTCTTACTGGTGAATTCCTTCTCGAATTCAATCACTAATAAACTCTCCGTTTCTTAGTATCGCATCGACTTCACTATACAGAATATAGACACCAAGAAGGTGTCTACTAGCCGTTCATCACTCCACGCGTACCGCAGGAACCGACCTTCAAGACCGAGCTGTTTCTCACGAATCAATTTCATATCCGACTCACTCACGAATTCACTCCCAGTTTCTTCATATCACATTGACTTCACCACACAAATTACGAAAACACCAAGGAGACACTAGCCATTCCATTGTGGTTTAGCAAGATGAAAAAAGTTCAACAAAAGCGGGCTTTCCCGACGCATCACGGATGAGCTTTCCCAACTTGTTCGAAACTTGATGCGAATGTCTCTACCTGAAATGATATCACTTCCCTACCCAAGGTGACTACTAACAGGCATTTACACGAAAAAAAACACACACAACAGATCAAAAGCGATACACCCCGATTCGTAGCGAAGCAAAAACAAGCACAAACGGAACCGGTGTATCCTCAGTGTAGTGATGCAATGTGTTAGTGCGACGAGCGCCTAGTGCATGCTCACAGTACTAGTCGTTATACACCCAGTACGACGAAAGTTCAACTGAAAATCGCCCTTCTACAGTCTGAACCAAAATAGATTGCAAACTAAATATCAACGATGACGATCAATTACTATGGTGATTCAACTTCTATTCTCGTGTTGTGTTGGGTTGAGCATGACCGAGAGTGTAACTCCATCAAGTTTCACATCGATCCCGCTAAACCCATGACGAGATCCGCCACGAAGGCCTCGTGCTATTTCCCTCCAACTGATATCTCTATTTCATACATAACACGAGCTGTACTAGGCGATAGTGAGATCAGAAGTGTCATGAGATTATTCACGAGTTCGATTCATCAACACTGACAACAATCACTCCCATCCATACCTCCTTCTTGAGCTCTGCAATTTCAGGAAGCTCATTCTCCTCAATAAACTTGTTGAAAGCCGCTTGCTTTGAGGACCCCACATTCCTCTGTATCTACAACATCACTAAAATCACCACATTGCAATCAACCAGACAAAGACAAACAAAAGTGTGATGGAATCACATTTTTCCAATCCACTGCGATGTAAGCCTTCCTAAATTGAGCGCGAAAAAACAGCAAGTCCGGTAAAAAGACAACAGCGAAGAGAAGAATATACATCACGAGAACGCTGCATGAACGGATCTCGCTACTTCAAGTATCAAGATATTATATGAGCTCCGTAGGTCGCAATGTATTAGAGTTTCACGAGCGGCCGTGATATGAAAAACATATTTCACGACTACTGCATATCACCACGAATATCGCGTTTTTCACAGAGTATTACGACGCCATTTACACGTAAAACGGGTGAAACTTCATTTACAACTAGAATATAACTAATATAACTGTTATTAATTAATAATACGAGTATAAGAGTAATAACTACTAATAAGCCGTATATAGTAACTAATATAACTCTCCTAATAGTGGCACACCCGTAATACGTGAAGTACAGTCACTCACGGGATCAAACTCGCGAAAATAATGATGTGATTTTCACTAGTATTATATAACACATATGATGCTTCAATGAACACCCTGTGAAGGTCTGTGAGATTCGGCTTGTGTCAATTGTCGTCTCTCGTGATATCTGTCCCATTGCGGTTGATTCTCAGCGTATCATCGCTGAGCTAAGCTGTAGTCATTTGCATACCAGTGATGATTATAAGTTAAGTCTCTCTAATATTTTGGTCGACGTTGGGTTCTGGCTCTCAATA